AATGGGAAAGTAGAACCGACCAATGAGAAAGCAAAACTCCGCCCACTCTAATCAATCGCGCAGCACCCTTTCTTCCGCGCTCATTTTGGAGGCAGAACTGGGACTAACATTGCGCCTCGTCATTGGTAAGTAGCCTCTTTGGATACGGTATAGAGAAAAAGTGCGCCAATGAGGAAGGTGTAATGAAGGCCAAGCTTCGTCCCTACGATTTGCTTGGGATATATTTTTGAATGAGTCGCTTCACAGTGATTAGCGAAGCCTGATTTGGCTGCAAACTCTTCAAACAGATTTTTCGGAAGTAAAGCTAACTTAACTTAGGAAATCAATCGAATTTTAAATTTTGCATCTCCACTTCCCATTTGGAAATCCTGATTACCTAGTTTGAAATTTATGGTTTCTCCCATTAGTATCATATAGCGAAGGGGTGGGGGGTATGGGTCCGAAAATTCTGGCGTCTTGAAGCCATGGATGCCTCGCCCACACAGAGCGATCCCCTGACTAATCAGCCGCATTGTCTGATGTCACGGAAACGCCCACTAGGGGCGGAGCTTGCTACGCTCCAATAGGTTTTGAACACTTACCTACAATGCCCTTCTTGTACTTCATAAGAAGCTTCTCAACTGTTTTGCCGAACTCGTTGATACAATCATCCAACTTCTTGGCGGAATCGGTCAGGGCTGGATCCACCACGGCAGCGAAATCCGCTCCGGTGCTGCCACTGAGAACAGTTGAGTTCACATTAAATTACACCTAAGAAATCTTGAAATCCTTACCCAGTCGCTCGCTTCACGACCTGTCCGAAGAGAGTTCCGAAGCCGCCGGACTTGATTTCTTTAGCCACCTGCTGTAGATGCCTTCCAGCATGTTGTGCTCCGGTAAGAGCCACGAATAGCCGCATGACGTCATTGGCTCCTTCGAAGATTCTGAAAAACATCTTGTACGTAGGGATCTCAACAACTGATCTAGGTTTAGAGCCACCTGAAGATTCGCAAGTTCCCTCATGACCCGTTCCAGACCGCAGTCTTTCATGAATCCCATTCCTCCATGCAACTGAATCGCCTCATCACATACATACCAGGCATTTTCCTGAAAAGGGCCTTCTGCTATCCCTTCACGTCAATTACAGGCCACTGAACCGCGTTGCAACCGCGCGCGCCTCAAACTGGCCAACCACACACGAATTGTTGGAGAACGAAGCGAAGCGAAGCTGCACCGTGGTTGTTTCCTTTTTGTAATATCTTCAAAAAAAAACGAAGAAAACTAGAACAACATTGAATCTTACCGATGCGGCGACTTTTCCAATGGCCGCTTCCAGTTGATAGTCCTGAATTCCACGATCCATATTCGCTGCAAGAAGATAGACAATCGATTCGGTAGCATAATGACGAGCGACCATGTTTGTGAGCTTTTCCTAAATACTATTCGATAGGTTGATCGATATCTGCCTGATATCTCTATAGAAAGAAAAACGCGAGCAATTCGGCTTTGGGGGGGGGGGCATATTGCTGCCTCATCTCCAGTTGATGCCTCCTGTGAAACCTTAAACTCCCATGAAACCATGGCAGTAACAGAAGCTTATTTGCACTTGGCAAGAGTCTACACGTATCGTGAAATGGTGCGTGTAAGTTAACGGGAATCGGTAAGTGAAACTAGCAAAAATGCAAAATGCCCCTCCCAAGTCAAAAAGTGTCGAAAAAGGTTTTGACAACAACAATAGTAAGGCTGCAATATCGAAAGGGATAAAAATAACCCAAGACGACCTTCATAGGACTTACCTGAACGTTGAAGAACTCCTGAAGAGTCTGTCCGAACTGCACTCGACTCGTTATGTGATCGACCTAAATCTCAAACAAATTAAAAATCAAAATTTCTTCTATCAAATTCGCCGTGATATTACAGCTTTTCAACTCATCAGGTTAGTGCCTCTCTATGACGATAGATGTTTTCAGATTAATAAGCTCCCATTCAAAAAGTAGCACAGAAGATACTGGTGGGGATCAGGAAATAGGAGCTGACAGCTATAGCTAAAAAGAGGCGTCGCTGGCATTCGCACCAGGACCTGGTGATTTAGCGCAAAAGTGCTTCTGGTAGTCTGAGTCAACTAGCTAGGAGATTAACCGCGATGAGATAGTTCTTACGTGTTGCCGCAGCACGGATCTCCTGACCTGCACCTGATTGTTACTGTAAGCCTCTGCAAGGCGG